GGGGTGGGGGGTGTATGGGTGGTGTTAGCAATCAGTGCCAGCTGAGATTGATTAGGACCAAGAAGGCTGCATGGAGGGAGCGAGTGGTTGGGTCCAAACTTGTCCATTATGTAAAACCATTGGTGTCACCCTGATATCTTTGTCAGGAAACTGGTTGGTGGAAAAAGTGAGGGAGCAGGAGGAAACTGGAGGATGTGGGCTGGGGGTGGGGGGCAGATGTTCTGCTCCGTCAACCTGTTACCAAATTGTTTGGTCATCTGTTCACTTCATTCAAATGGAAATCTGAGTCACGCTTTCATTGGAAACAGCAAAGTCTGATTGCGTCTAATGAGGAAAGAGAAGTTGGCAAAGAGACGATGAAAAGTTCAACCCCAGATCTGACAGAATGCAGTGGAGAGCAAATCTCATAAACCCAGACTTTATTCACAGTGGAACAGTAAACTCATCAAATGATGAAACTAAAAAAGGTACAATGAAGTCATTGGACTCTGTTGTCAGCGACTCATCTCAAAGTTGTTTCAGTGCAACAAAATGCTGTAAAAGTTGTACAAATATGAAACAACTGGAAGAGCAACTAATGAGAGTAATTATCAACAGGCCAGTGAGAGGAATGGGTTTAAAAAGAGACTTTTAGAAAATAGGCCCAGACACCATGTCCTCCGTACTAAAGAGGAGGGGGACCATCCAGACTGTTATCAGATCACAGTTCAAATCCCTGCCTCTCTGACGATATGGGGGTGCATTATGGGGGAGTGCATTGGAGTCAGCCTCCCCACCATCACAGACATCTACACCTCCAAATGCAGGAAGAGGGCCACCTGCATCATGAAAGACCTCACTCACCCAGCACACACACTTTTTGCCCCGCTCCCCTCAGGCAGAAGGTTGCGGAGCATTTAGTGTAGAACCACTAGACTGAGGAACAGCTTCTACCCTGAAGCTGTTAGACTCATAAATCCCTAACCAGGATAATCACTTTGAAAAAAAAATCACTGTAATGTCACTTTGATTGGCGATATGTGCTGCTGATTATCCATGCTGCTGATCTCATGCTGCTGATTATTTCATGCTGCTATAGTCATACTCATCTGCTCACAAAGACTCATGTTCATGCTGTTGTTTGGCGTACTGTTTTGCACTATTAGTGTTTAGCTTATTTCTTAGTTTCTTAGATCCTTATTATTACTGTTTCTTTTACAATTGATATTTTTGCTGTTGTTAAGATGTAACTGGGACCCTGTGTACACAATTTCATTCCGCTTCATGTGTCACATGTGATGCGAATGATAATAAAGAACCTTGAACCATTAGTGCCTTTAGCATGAGCAGCTTTCACATCTGGAAAGACTCCATCAATGCAGAAAAACATTGACAGGTTTTAGAACAAAATCATGAAACAAATGCAACAAAGAAGATCCAGGACTGTTGTACAGCTAGATACCTCCATCAGACCAGAATGGGACAACATTCCCTCCAAAATGAGTCTCCTCAGGTTCTCCAGAACCTCCAGCAACTGGTCTCCTTAGTTCCCGGACCTTTACAGACTAGTGTTAAAGAACATGGAGCTTGACTGACTGGATTGAGTTGTTTTTCTGACATGGCACCTTTTCTTAGCTTCAACCTTTGATCTTGTTACTGTGTTCTGTTGTGAGTTCACGTTTATGGGTGTTTGGGAATTCTGTTCTTTACATTTTACACAACGACGTCCCAACTTTTTCTGAAGAAAGGTTATAAAATCGAGTTGTGCAACTTCTTGTTTGGGAATTCTTTACAGTGTTGCTAAAGCGCGTGCCAACGCTGAGTGTTTAATGGAGGTACAGGGGCTAACGTAATATTTATCTAAAAGCCTTGTTGTGTTTTTCCAGACATCCTTCACCTTGACGTGGGCCAGCTACCTGTTAGCACGACACCCTCACGTTCAGGAGCAAATCTACTTGGAGGTCAGGCAGACTCTGGGGCCCGAGACGGTCGCCACAGCTGACGACGTCCCCCGCCTGCCTCTCATCAGAGGCCTCGTGAAAGAGACGCTCAGGTACGCGGTGCTTCACGTGACTTGTCATCTTCTGAAGGCTGTAAAAACTGAGGCTGCCAACCGTCACGATGAGGAAAAATTCTGTACTTTAAACTAAAACGCTCCTTACAAGGATGATCAAAAATTCACTTCCTTATTTTTTAGGAGACTGTGCAATTATTTATAAACAGGTGAATGTTGAATTAGTCTCATCAGAGCTGTTTTAGTATTTTAATTTGCAGGGAAAGATGTTGAAAATATACAAATACGTTACTTAAAGCAACTAGCTAACAGCTAAAATAAGCAGACCATTAGCTAAAAGAAGCAAAACACTAACTAAAAGACGCAGGACACTAGCTAAAGAAGCAGGACACTAGCTAACAGCTAAGAGAAGCACAAAAAAAAAAACCACTAGCTAAAATTTGTTATAAGCAAAACACTAGTTAACAGCTAATAGAAGCGTCCATCCATCCATCCATTATCTTTACCCGTTTATTCCATTTTGGGTCACGGGGGTCGCTGGTGCCCATGTCCAGCAATCACTGTGTGAGGGGCGGGGTACACCCTGGACGGGTCGCAAGTCCATCACAGGGCCACATAGAGACAAACGAGACAAACAACCATTCACTCTCTCACTCACACCTAGGGACAATTTAGAGTTACCAATCAGCCTAACATGCATGTTTTTGGACTGTGGGAGTAAACCGGAGCACCCGGAGAAAACCCACGCATGCACGGAGAGAACATGCAAACTCCACCCAGAAAGGCCCCTGGACCGGGGTTTGAACCAGGGACCTGCTCGCTGAGAGGCAGCAGCTCTACCAGTTGCGCCACCGTGCTGCCCTAATAGAAGCGTAACTAGCTAAAAGCGAATAACACTAGCTAACAGCTAATATAAGCATAACACTAGCTAACAGCTAATAGAAGCAAAACACTAGCTAACAGCTAATAGAAA